AATTCAGGCTTGAATTTTTTATTCAGTCTCCTCAGCTTGAGGAGTGCTCAGCGTGTTCTTCCCTTTTGGTTTTCTAACTCCAGGTCTCTGCACATTTTGTTATAATATTTGAATATTTAAATCTTGAGCTGCTCTTTGAAACTTTCTATTCAGCTCCTTTATCTCCTCATTTCTTTCATTTGCTTTAGCATCTCTACTCTGGAGAGCAAGTTTCAGAGTCTCTTCTGACATCCATTTTGACCTTTTCCTTCTTTCTTGTTTTCTTAATAACCTTTTGCTTTCTTCCTGTATGATGTTCTTTATGTCATCCCACAACTCTTCTGGTCTTCAGTCTTTGGTGTCTAATGCATCAACTCTGTTCTTCAGGTGATCTCTAAATTCAGGTGGAATATATTCAAGGTAGTATTTTGGCTCTCCTGGACTTGTTTTAATTTTCTTCAGCTTTAGCCTGAATTTGTATGTGAGCAATTGATGGTCTGTTCCACAATCTGCTCCTGCCCTGATTATGGCTGGTGAGTGGAGCTTTTCCACCGTGTTCTTCCCCAGATGTATTCAATTTGATTTCTGTGTATTCCATCTGGTAAGGTCCATGTGGATAGTCATTTTTTACGTTGTTTAAAAAAGGTATTTGCAATGAAGAAGTCATTGGTCTTGCAAAATTCTATCATGCTATCTCCAGCATCATTTCTATCACCAAGACCATGTTTTCCAACTGACCCTTCCTCTTTATTTCTAAACTTTGAATTCCAATCACCAGTAATTATCAATACCTCTTGATTTCATGTTCTGACTGAAGAAATTGATAGAACTCTTCAATTTCATCATCACTAGCTTTAGTGGTTGGTGTGTAAATTTAACAATAGTGGTATTAACTGGTCTTCCTTGTTATTGTTGCTATTAAGTGCCACTGAGTCGATTCCGACCCATAGCGACCCTGTATAGGGTTTCCAAGGAGCAGCTGGTGAGCTTGAACCACCAACTTTGCAATTCAAATGACTTTGCAATCTGACACATTAGCCCCCACACAGCGCCATACCAGGACCCTGGTCTTCCTTGTAGGTATATGGATATTATCCTATCACAGATGGCGTTGTACTTCAAGACAGATCTTGATATGCTGTTTTAGATGATGAATGCAACACCATTCCTCTTCAATTTGTCACTCCTGGCATAGCGAACCATGTGAGTGTCAGATTCAAAATGGCCAATACCAGTCCATTTCAGCTCACTAATGCCTATCGATGTCTATGCATTCCATTTCATTTTTGACAATTTCCAATTTTCCTAGATTCCTACTTTGTACATTTCATGTTCAGATTGTTAACAGATACTTACAGTTGTTCCTCTTCATTTTGAGTTGTGCTTCATCAGCAAAAGAAGGTCCCAAAGGCTTTACTCCATTCGCGTCACCACGGTCAACTCTACCTTGAGGAGGCAGCTCTTTCCCAGTTGTATTTTGAATGCCTTCCAATCTGAAGGGCTCATCTTTCGACACTATAGCTGATAATACTCTGTTCTGGTGTTCTTCATCATGTTTTCATTGTCAATATTTTGGTGCTCAATGATAGTGTTCCACTGCTATTCATAAAAAATTCAGTAACTAAATATTTGCAAGTAGTCCATCTCTCCTTCTTCCTAGTCTGTCTTCATTTGGAAGCTCATCTGAAACCTGTCCAGGTTTTTAAACCTGCTGGTATTTAAAATACCGATGGCATAACTTCCAGAATCACAGCAACACATAAACCACCACATTATGACAAACTGACAGATATGTGGTAGGGAACCACAATAATGAATCCTAATACCAACTACTAGTTCCTGGCTTAGTTCTAGGTACAGTGTCTAAATTAATGCATTGACCCTTCACAATTATCCTATAATGTAACCTTTGCTACTATTTCCATTTTATAGAGTGGGGAACTGAGATGCCAAGTACCAATTGGAGATTAAAGAGCATGGGAGAGTTGGGACTTGGACCCAGCCCATCTGACCCAGAGTCCACCCTACTAACCCCTACCCTACACAACTTCCTTAAGGCAAGGCCATGCTCTCCAACCTGCACTTCCTTAGGTTTTGACTTCTATATTTCCTCTTACTGTAGCCAGAAGCTTTGGGAGAATAGCTCTGAGGGCATGTGGCTTTTTGAGTGAAGACATGCTACCTATCTGTAAGAGCTTGTTATTTAAAAAGATTACAAATCTGGTAGCGTAGTGGTTACAAATTGGGCTGCGAACCTTAAGGTCAGTGGTTCGAAACTACCAGCTGCTCCGCGGGAGAAAGATGAGGCTTTCTATTCCCGTAAGGATTTACACCCTCGGAAACCCTGTACAGGGTCGCTATGGGTCGGAACCGACTCGAAGGCACTTAACAACAACAACAACAACAAATCTAAAGCATTATAAAGCACCATCATTATCAACTCAACCCTAGCTATGCTGCACCTTTGCAAAAAAGTCAGGTACCTCTCTGAACTGTGGTTTCTTCTTCTGTAGCAAGAGCCTTCTAATTACCATTCATTGTCAACCAATGCAGGCAGGCAGGCTCTGAGGTTCCCCCAGTGAGCTCAGTCTCCTGGTGTTTATTCCCTTGTGTAGCCCCTTCTTTGAATGTCAACAGCACTTAATAGCTTGCTTCTAATAGACAGAATATAGCAAAAGGATGGGCGGATGCTTCTGAGACCAGGTTACAAAAAGACTGTGGCTTCTGTCTTGGGTGCTCTTTCTTGCTAGCTCTCTTGCTCTGAGAAAAGACAGATGCCATATTGTGAGTGGCTGTCCATGTGGCAAGGAACTGAGGGAGGCTTGTGGCCAATAGCTAATGAGGAACTGACCCCTGCCAACTGAGCGAACTTGGAAACAGTCAAGCCAGCTGCAGATGAGTCTGCAGCTCAGAAGCATCCAGGCTCCTGACCCATAGAGAATGTAAGACAATAAACATTTGTTGTTTTAAGCCCCTGAGTTTTGGGGGGATTTGTAATGCAGCAAGAGATAGCCAGTAGACCTAGTACTGGTGTAGGGCTGTAGGATAAAACATTGGACCGAAAGGTCAGTTTAAATCACAAGGTCGGTGGTTCAAACGTACCAACCACTCCTTGGAAACCCTATGTTGTTGTTAAGTGCCATCGAGTCGATTCCAACCCACAGTGACCCTGTATAGGGTTTCCAAGAAACAGCTGGTGAGCTTTAACTGGCGACCTTGCAGTTCAAACTGCTTTGCAGTCTGGCGCATTAACCCATAGCGCCACAACCCTATACAGGGTCATTATGAGTCGGAACAAACTCGACAGCACTTAACAACAACAATACCTAGTACTTGTCTACTTGGTGCAAGGCCCTATGCTATACATACATTCATTCAAGATACATTTATTGAGTGCCACTGTGTGCCACGGGGCCAGGTATTAGGTTTGCATTAACAAACCAGATGGATGTTGGCCCCACTCTCAAAGACCCAAGGCTGAGCTGGGAAGACAAGACTTTAAATGGATAATGTGAGCAGTGTTACAGGAATTCTGAGGAGGCCCTTGACCCAGGCTGGAGGAGGCAGCAGAGGTTTCCTAGAGGAGAGGATGTCTGAGACAAAACTTACATTAAAGGGAAGCTTCCAGGCCAAGGTAGACAGGAAGGACCCTCAGGAAGTAGCAGAAACTTGTGCAGGGCAGGCCAAGAAGACTTGTTGGCACATGCGGAACAAGGAGAATTAGAATGTGGCATAAGCCTACACTGCAAGAGAAAAGGCAAACAGGTATGTCATAGAGACAAAAGGATGGGCGGATGCTTCTGAGACCCGGTTACAAAAAGACTGTGGCTTCTGTCTTGGGTGCTCTTTCTGGAAGAACCTGGGATTGATCTGCTAGGCAGTAGGGAGCCATTGAGGGTTGACTGTAAGCAGTTGAGTAGTGTGGCCAGCAAAATTAAGTAACATGACACAAGCAATGGTGGTGGTGATGGATCTGTGTTGTAGAGAAAGTTCCGACTTAGAGAAACCTGTATAGGGTTTCTGAGGTTGTAAATCATTATGGGAGCAGAAAGCCGTACGATTCTCAATCAGTCAGGAGAAGCTGATTGATTCAAACTGTTGACTTTTTTTTTTATTAAATGTTTTTATTTTGCATTGAGTGAAAGTTTACAGGGCACATCATCAGCTTCACATTCAACCATTCATATAGCTTATTTCACTACATTGATTATTATCCCCTCCATATATCATCAGTTTACAGTGTTTCTCTCTATCCTCTTTAGCTTTTTTTTTGGGAGGGGGGGAAACTTGCCTTTTTGGAATTTACAGTCTCGGCTTTTAGGGAAGGTTTTTACATTTGTCTGTGGATATCCAGGGCTCATGTATGCGATTACTAACAAGCATTACTGAATAATCAGATGAGGGACAGTCAAACTGTTGACTTTTAGGTTAGCATCCCAACTTTTAATCCATGACGTTACCAGGGCTCCTTGACATTAAAGTAGAGTAGAAGATAGGTTGGCAGGGGCAAGCTGGAGGACAGGAATCCAGGGAGGACAAAAGCTACACTGGTTTAAGCAGGAAATGATGGAGTCTGGGCTAGCAGAGAGAAGCTGCATTATAGATCTGCAGACGTGAGATGCTCAAGAGTTGAGGTCTGACCAGTTGGAAGGAGGTGAGGGAAATAGAGGAGGCAAGAACGCTGTACAAGCTTCTGGCGGTGATGTTTGGCTGTGCCTTTAGTTAGGAGAGTGTGAGTGAGCATGTGGACAGGTACTGGATGGGATGAGCAAGGTAAGGGGATGAGTTGACCAGGATGAGTTGGCCCGAAGAAAGCTTCAGAGATAGTCTCTCTAGGACGCAGGTCAACCCCTTAGCCCAGGAAAGAGATGCTACAGACCTGGTCTGAGACAGGTGTGCAGAAGAGGAGAGGTACAGTGGAAAGGTATTTGGAAGCCAAAGGGCCAGGGCTTTGAGAGAGTCTGGATGGGGTCCATGCAGACAGAAGGGACCACCACGACCCCAGGCCGGGAGTCACCCACCTGCTGCGCATAGCCTAGCGCCTTGTCATAGAGTGCGATGCCAGCCGCCAGCACCTGCGCGCGCTCCTCCCGGCTAGAGCAGCCGACGTCGAAGCCGTGCGCGTAGCCCTGCTCCGCCAGGCAGCGCGCTGCACGAAGTTGGGGGTCCCCGGTGGTCTCTGGACCCGCCTCCAGGCCCATGAGAGCGGCCAGTCGACCGGCACACTCCTCCTCCTCTTCCTCTTGTCCCAGCCGCCCGTATACGTGTGCCAAATTGGCCCAGGCGTTAAGGTTGCCCGGGTCATCGCGAGCTACTTCGAGGAAGCGCTCGCGGGCCTCGTCCAGTTCCTCCAGGTAGAAGGCGAAGGCGCCCAGGAGGTGGCGCACGGCAGGACGCTGCGGGGCGGCTGCAAGCTTGAGTTCCTGTCGCAGGCCCTCCCGCTGCAGCTTCAAGTCCCTGGCACGGAGCTGGGTCGGCGAGCACGGCTCGAAGTTCAGCTGCATTTCCAGGTGGAAGTGGCCTGGGAGGTAGTCCAGATCGTCGATGAGGGCGTCCAAGTCCTCACTCAAGGCCTCCGGCTCCGCCATGGCTGTCCCGCGACTACTCCGGCCTCGTCCTAGTGCTCCTTCCGGAGGCTGCGGAGGGTAGTAGACGGGAGAGCCCCTGAGAGAGTCCAGCTGGAGGCGAAGGGTCAGCGCGCTTGCTCAGAGGCCAAGGCCGTGGCTGCCTCCTGGTGCTGGGGCCCCTCCCGTGGGTGGGTCGGGCTCCTGGAGCGCCCTGTGGGTGTTTCCGCTTTCGATGCTCAGAGGCTCTTAGACGCCAGCCTTGCATAATTTAGGTGCTCCAGAAAAACAGGTGTACCGCCAAGTTGGAGAGTGAAAACCCGGTGCCTGGCAAAAGGCATGTTCTTATTTTCCCTGCTCAGCAGATAAGAAAACTGACTCTTAGGAGGAAAGAACTTGACGGGGTCACAGACCTGGGGCAAACCTGGCGCATGCTGATGGACCTGAGGCGGAACCCGCAGTTTGCTAAATCCAGCCGGGTTCTTCTGTGGGCGCTGGCCCACTTTCTGCTTGAGTGAACTGACAGTGTTAGTGGAAATGACCTTCACTTCTCTTGCTGTCCCATCTTGCTGTCTCCTGTGATATCTTAGCCTCCCAGGCATTTCTTCAGAGTTCTCCTTCCTCAGAACCCAGGAACTTGCCACCTCCCGCCTCATTCCTTTGACCATATTTCCCAGCCATCCCCTGCTGGGATTTTCTTGTCTCTTCTCTGCTCAGATCTGGCCACTGTGAAAAGACTATGGGAGACTCCTGCTGACTGTAATCCCCATTCTCATCTCTAATAAAGTGTGACCTCGGTCAACTCCCTCATCCCTCTGTGCCTCACTTTCTGCATGGGTTAAATGAGTGTGAAATCGCAAACACCCTAGGACAGGGGAGATACTAGGGGTGACCCTAGGGTGGCCCTGGTAAGTGTGGCCTCTCACCTTCTCCGTTTGACTTCCATCCCATCCTGACACTCCAGTTTGAGTCCTGGATGTCTTTCTTTTGCCAATCTTCTCTCCTAGGACCGGATTTAACCTCTAGTCTGCAGACTGGGCCAAGCATTGGCCAACAAGGACTGCCTGATTCTCTAATACTTGGGATTTGTTGTTGTTGTTGTTGTTGTTGTTGTTGTTGTTGTTAAGTTCCGTGGAGTCAGTTCAGAGTCACAGTGACCATGCACAGGGTTTCGGAGGCTGAAAATCTTTTACAGGAGCAGAAAGCCTCATTTTCTCCCATGGAACAGCTGGTAGTTTCAAACTGCCGACCTTGAGGTTAGCAGCCCAATTCATAACCACTACGCTACCAGAGCTCCTTTGGGATTTGTAGCAGGTCTGAATTTTTGAATTCCTCCTGCTCCTCATTCCACTTGGGACTGGATTCCTTAAATGCCTGTTGCGTCATCTTCTAAGATAATAGACCATCGTCTTCTGAAGAGGTGGTGATGATTATGTACCGTGGAGTCTACTCCGACTCATAGTGACAATGGATAGGGTTTCCAAGGCTGTAAATCTTTACAGAAGCAGAAAGTCTCCTCTTTCTTGGGAGGAGCACCTGGTAGATTCACACTGCTGACCTTGCAGTTAGCAACCTAACTCATAACCCACTATGCTACCAGAGCTCCTTCAAAAGAGGAAAACTAGTCAATTAGTCAACTTTAGAAACCAAAATGTAAATCAACATAGTGTTCTGGTACTATTTTTCACCTGTCAATCTTTAAAAAAATAAAATGTAATCATTTAAAAATAAAAATTTGTCAATGTAAATTGTTGGTGATGAGATGAAACTTGAGCTTTAAAGGATCAGGGGTGGATTCCCAGAGGGTCTGACTTTTGATCTGACTCTAAGATAAGGAAGAGTTGGGTGGGAAGGGCAGGTGAGGAAACATTCCAACAAAGGGAAAGTCATTTGAAAAGGCCTGAAGTTTTACCAGTACAGGTGTGTCCTGGGGACAGAGCAGTCTTGTGTGTCTGAAGTGACAGAGAGTGAGGAGGAAATGACCAGAAATGAGGGCTGGAAGCAGGGGCTGAGCCCCATCAGAGAGGCCTAAATCCTAGCTGACAAGAAGCTTCACTTGGCTCTCTTGACTTAACAGAGTTTTGAAGCCTGGGTGTGTTAGATACTCTCGCAGCCATATTCATGGTGTGATCTTAGATCTCAGAGTGTGACCAAGACAAGAAACTGTCCCTATCTGGGCCTTAGTTTCCTCTTCTGTAGCATGCAGGTAGGAAGAGTAGGAGGTAGGAGCCATGGTAAGGAAGTTGCTGTGACAGGGAGGCTTTGGGCAGACCTTGGACAGGCTCCAGAGTTGACTCACCCTGGCCTGCTCTGGCCTGCCTGGCAACCAGGATTCCCAGCTCAAAGGATTTTGACCCACACCTATCTGGTCACTGCTCCATGAGCCCTGGAGTCAAGGGGCTCACGTCAGGAGAAAGAAGCAAAGCAGTCCCACCTTGCCCAGTCCCAGGGCTGGCCAAAGGGCCTCTTGGGGCATAGGACTTCAGAGTGTATGCATCCATGCCTCACTGACTCCTTAAAACAGCTCTTCCAGGCAACCATGGATGAGAAAATTGAAACTTAGAGATGGTAGGTAACATGCCCAAGGCTACTGTCTAAGAAGCAACAGAGGCAGGATTCTAATGTGAGTCTCTTTGAGGAAATTTGCATTACTGGCAAACTGGAGTAGATTCATTTATTCACTTGTCATTCCACTCATTCAGCAAATATTTATTGAGCAATTACTATGTGCCAAGGTACTGCACCGACTCTGGAGATACACACACAAACACTCAAAAGAGTGAGTTAGACAGAGTCTCTGCCCTTAGGTGTTATGTAAGATCCCTTTTCAAGGGCTGGGAATGACTTCTCATTAAGTCTCTACTATGTATCAGGAATTTTATCTAAATGATCTCATTGAATCTTTGAAGTAAAAGCTCCGTTTTACTGATAATATGAGCTGAAACCCAGAGAAGGAAATGATTTATCCAAGGTAACACAGATGAGAAGGGGCAGTGCCTATGTTTGGGTGACTTGGTATTCCATTCTGTGTGAGTCCCTGAAGCCTGATGCTTCCGCTCATGAGCTCAGCAGTGCAGTATGGCCATTCTGCCAACCATATGCCCACTAGGCCTGGAGCCCGAGTTCAGCTCCTGACTGTGTTCAGGTCTGCTCTTCCCGTTTAAATGCCAGCTTGGGATATCAGAAAGGCAGTGTGTGGGGCCTCGAAGGAGCCAGCTGTACCACTGGCTGGATGCAGGACTCCACGTAAGCCTTCAGTCTTTTCATGATTGAATGAGAACTCTCTGCCTTTAGGATGCCTGGTGTCGCGCTGTAGTCGTATCAGCACTGGACTTCGAACTACAAGGTCAGTGGTTCAAACTCACCAATCGCTCCTCAGAAACCCTAGACAGGGTCGCTGTAAGTCTAAACCGAGTCAATAGCACTTAACAAGCTTTAAGGAGCCCTGGTGGTAGAGCGGGTAAGTGCATGACTGCTAACCAAAAGGACTGCTGTTCTACTCTGTGAGCCAATTTGTAGGAGAAGGATGTGGCAATGTTGGAAACCCTATGGGGTACGTCTACTCTGTCCTATAGGGTTTCTAGGAGTTGGAATCAACTTGACGGCACACAAAAACAATAACATAAGCCCCTGGGGAGGATCCAAGGAGATCATGGGAAATATTAAACTATCTCTTAGCATGGCAAGCACTGGGGGGAGGGGATATAGGGGGAGGAGAATAGAGAGCTGACCATGTCCTGGTGGGAGCATACACCCTCTCAACAACTTTGTTCACCTGGCAAAGTACACATGTTCTGATACTGTTTGGAATTCTCCTCCTCTAGGAAGCCCTCCTTGATCTATGCATCTACAGACTGGGTCAGATGCCTCCTCTGTCATAGGCCAGATTACACGGGGGTCATTGTTTCCCCGGTTTAGATCTTCTGGGTCCCAGGCACCTTGTAAGCACCTGCCCAGAATGGGTGCCAGAGGGTGTCTAGGGGCAGAATGAGTTCTGACTCCCTCCCTGCACCCTGCTTCCTCTCACCATAGGTTGTTGTCCCTCCAAGCTCTCTCTCCTAGCTACTTACGGCACCCAGCTTCTTCCCCTCTCCAAAGTGGAAGAGTCCAGAAGCCCTCTTTTGGGAAATGAGGTCGTGCCCTTTCTGTGGGCCTCAACTTTCCCATCAGCACAAGCTGGGCCTTAAGCAGTAGTTGTGAGCCTGAGCTCTCCCAGACTCCATGCTGGGCGCTGGGATAAAGTGAGAAATCAGGCCCTGCTCAACAAACTCAAATCCAACTATATGCATCCATATTAAACACCAAGAGGAACCGTCACATCTTGTAGGGCTCAGGGAAGGCTCTCTGGTAAGGCAGCGTGCGTAGAAGAA